ATACCACCCACTCTTAGAAAAATAATTTTCAAATTATGGGTTACAAAATTAACGTAATGGGTCATGACCAATAGTCTTTCTTGTCTTAATGAGAAAGAATAGAAAATATCAGTGTACACCCAAGAGTTTACTTTAGATTTACATGTACACCCAGTACATACTCAAACATGCATTTCTTACTGTAGGTTATCGTTTTAAAAAAATCTTGAAAAGCTATTACTCTATGGCACATATACAAGAGTTTTTTAAGGGTAGTGGCTTTCAAAGATTTTGGAACCTCAACCACAGCAGCAAGAAATACATTTGACGTCACAACCCAAATAGCTATCTCACACACGTGCATGCTAATTCACTTATATTTAACTGAATATAAATTTCACAAAACTATACCTATCTATTACTACACAGTCATCAACCACACTGAAAAAACTCTATCCTAGAGAAACGGGGTTTTTTTGCTAGATATTTTTTATTGTGGCAAAATATACATAAAATTTACCAGTTTAATAATTTTTAAGTGTACTGTTCAGTAGCATTTAGTATATTCACACTGTTGCATAACCATCACCACCATCCATGTCCAGAACTTTTTCATCATCCCAAGTGGAAACTTTGTACCCATTAAACAATAACTCCCCATTCTCCTTCTCCCCCAGCCCCTGGCAACCAGCATTCTACTTTGCTTCTATGAATTTGATTGCTTTAGGTACCTCTCATAAGTGGAATCATACAGAAGTCATCCTTTTGTGTCTGGCTTATTTTACTTAACATGTTGCCTTCATTCATGTGTAACATGTGTTATAATTTCATTCTGAATAATGAAGCCTTTCAGGCTGAATAATCATCTATTGTATGTATATACCACATTTTGTTTATCCATTCATCCAGCAATGAACATTTGGGTTGTTTCCACTTTTTGGCTACTGTGAATAATGCTACTATGAACATGGGTATACATGTTTTCAATTCTTGTGGGTATGTATCCAGAAGCAGAATTGCTGGATCATATGGTAATTTTACATTTAAATTTTTGAGGAACCACTGTATTGTTTTCCACAGCAGCTGCACTATTTTACATTCGCACCAGCAATGCACAAGGTTTCCAGTTTCTCCACATCCTTCACAACATGTGTTATTTCCTGTTTTGTGACAGAGCCATCCTAAGAGCTGTGAAATGGCCAAGAAAAACTTCTGCAGATGTTCTCCCAGAAAACGATACAATATTTTTCACAATAGCATAAAACAGCATTAGAATATGATCGAAATGTCCATCGAGAATGGTTAATTGCAGTATGTTCACCATACCCACACATTGGAATACCACATATATGGCCATAAAAAAAAAAAAGAATGAATTTTGGTAGAATAGGACATGAATGAATTTTAAGAGCATAACTGGGTGAAACCTGTAACTTATAAAACATGGCATTCTATTTACACAAGATTTAAAACATGCAAAACTAGACAATTTATTGCTTAGAGATACATACATCTGTTAAAACTATTTAAAAAAAAAAAAGAATGTCAAATGACTAACCAGAAATATATACCAGGATAATGGTTACCTCGGACAGTGGGAAGACAATTTTAAAGGTGCTATTCTTTTCTTAAAGTGGATGGTAGGTACACGAATATTTGCTGTATTGTCTTTCTTTACCCCTTACATTTCTTCTATAAATGTCCTTTTGTAACCACTCAATATTTATTTTAAAAAACACTTTTAACTTTAAAAAACATTTAAATTTAATTCAAAGGCATAGTAGGCAATAAGAATCTGCCCTCTGACTCCCAAGACAAAGGCTAACCCAAAGTGGAACTACTGGGTCCAATCACAAGGTTAGAATAATATTGAGAATAACTGTTTCAACTTTAAGATCCTATTCACTTACAGAAACAACTAACGTGCAGAGAATTATTTTTCAGATGCTGAGGGTATATCAGTGAGCAAAACAGGGAAAAATTCCTGCCCTTGCAAATGCATCTCTAGCTTCCCTGGCCTGGTAGTTGAAATCTGATGTAACTATTAACAGGTTAACTTCTGGGTACTCTTCTGACTGATGCTCCAAAAACACATCCTATTCCAGGGTGAAGGAGGTCAGGAAAGGCTCTTGGAAAGGCCAAAACAGTCCAGGCTCTTAACAGAACATCTTATCACCCCAATTCTCCTTTACCTAAAAAGCCATGAGTTTCCTTTTTGAAGGAATGGGATTTGCACACCAAAAGCTCTGGTCTGCCAATTCTAATGAAGAGAATCACCTCAAGGAGAATGAAGTCTTGTTTTCATCTGAATTCCTTATACTTCTTATAATTACTTAGTCTCAAGTTTTGGAGAAAATAGACTTTTTTTCTTTTCCAGTTACAGTCTTTAAGAACACATAAGCTAGTTCACTTCAGCATGAGGTAGACACAAGCTGGGCATTCCCTGTTCTGGTGTACCAGACTTAGAAGCAGATTTATAGTTACTAAGATCCAAGGGTGGATCTGTGCATCAGACACCTGAATGTTATAAAGCCATAAAGAGAAGGGGAGTGGCGATAAAGAGAAAAAAATAGGTGCTACACTTTCGAGAAGGATCTCCCTAATGACCCTATGAAAAGGTCCCTTTCCCTGGTCTTTGTTAATCTTAGTATAAAAAGACAGGAAGGTATGTTATTCGTTTTTGCTCTTCACCTTTCTAGCCTTATTAATATCTTTAAATCCAGTCAATTTCAACTAAAAACTTTCCACTAGTGGGGGAGGGGAAAAGGGAAAAGATTTGTGGCTGCATGTTTAAGAAAGAAGCTGAATTCATCACAGTGACAGGGGCGAGTGTTGGCAGAGATCTGAGCTATTTATTCTTTTAGGAAAATCCTATAAAGAATGACACAAGGAAGCCTCTATCTGCAGTCTTGTTCATCACACTGGTGAAGAGTTCGATAACAGATGTATGCGGGAGCGTGATTTAGTGCCAGGAGCTGGCCCCTGATGTGTATTAATACAGCGGCAAAGCGGAACGCACCTCTCTTCATCACTCATTTCTATAAAAGAGGTGGAATCCGAGATGGCCCGATGTTAGGCAGAGCAAGCCCATTTGTTCTACTGACTGATGGCGCGAGCTTGGGCTATGTCCTTCACCTCCATGGGGCACTCAGATTGTGGATAGAAAAAAAAAGGAAATGTTCAGCGAAGCAGGCCTTAGTCAACAAGTGACAGGAGGAGTTGGGCTCAATAGCGGAAATGTTTAATGCTCAAGTCTTGTTTAATACCTCCCAGTACATATCCTGATTTGAATATGGAATAAGGATTGTAAACTCTTCTCAACAGTTCTCTTAGAAACAATTAAAAGCTAAATATTAGAAGCCAGATTTTAAGGGGGAAAAGAACAAAACGATCAAAGAGGGGAGGATTGTATTTTAATGCTTCCAATACCACAGACTGGATGAGGATCTGGGTTTTGACATGGAGTCACGGTTTGGAACCAATCCTACTGCACACAAGACGAAACACCTGCAGTGTTTAAGAGGGCAGCTCCAGAGTCACAGGGAAGTTGGTCTTATCTTGGCTTTACAATTTATCAACCATGTAACCTCAGCATGTGATTTTACCTCTCTAAGCCTCAATTTTTCCCACGTGTAAATCGGGAATAAAAACAGCATCTACCTTATTAAGCTGTTGCAAAGATTAAGTGAAATAATTCATGCAAAATGTTCAGCTCAGGGCACAATCATGCGGCAATCACTAAAAATATCACTACGATCATCAGACCTGTGATTAAGATTGTTCAGAATGAACCATTATCAAGCAGCTGTTCCAAACAGAAGCTCTAACAGGTCAATTTCAGAGTACACTGAATTTACTAAGTAAAGTTAGATATATTTCCTATCCGTCTGAGGTCTACTCTTTACTCGGCTATCAACTGCTTTGATCTATATAATATATAGTATTTTTTGAAAAAAATAAAATAATCTATGATATATTTAATTCCTTCAGAGTGAATTCACCACCACCAATAAAATAACCGTAGGTATTTCTGATAGGCCTTACAAGTAGATATACTTTTTTTAACAAGAGTAATTAATCCTAAAATATATTGAGTAACACAAAGGACTTCCTATGATCACTAACTATATTTAACTATCTTCTCTTAACTCCAAGAAAAATATCTATACACATCTAACATTCTTGCTGATATAAATACATAATTATCCCCACCTTTTTCACTTAAGGATAACATAACATACTAAGTCATAAATGTGCACCTCAATGAAACTTTACATGTATATATACTCATATAATCCCCACCTGGTTCACACATGATATAGAGCATTTCCAGCATCCCAGAAGACTTCTTTATGTCCTCTTCTGATCACTACTTCCTCCCTACTGAAGATAACCACTATTTTGGTTTCTACCAACTAGTTTCTCCCAGAAAACTTAAAAATTTTAACTTGAAAACTTATTTTTAATTAGAAATTTCATTAATCACAAAATGTTAGCACTCTACTATACATAAAAACAGTAATAATGTATTGTACTATATACGGAATTAAGAAAGTAAATAAACCCATGTGGCTCTTTTACTACCATCAAACCGCCATCCTACCAGGATTTTCATGAACACAGACCTAATTTCCTGTCTGTGCTAGAGTAAAAGTGCAGATGACTATTGCTGATAGTGGAATACAGGAATTCAAACTCAAGAAAGCCATGTGACAGAGTGAAAAAGAACGGACTTCAGGGTCAGAGAGAACTAGGTTTGAATTCTTAAAATGTTTGGCCATGGGCAAATAACTTCTCACATTCTCAGTTTTCCCATGTAAAACGGGAATAAAATGACCTACCTTATCATTAAGGTTGAAGGCAAAGGTATATAAAACATGATTTAGTGCTTGGCATACAGTAGGTGGTCAATAAAGGATAACGACACAGAATTACCTGCACTTGGGCTGGACAGAGATGCTGTGGCCACAGGTTTCCGTTTCCTCTTGATGTCACGTGAACACGGGGGTCCCAGGTGAATGCTTGCCTGTCTGCAGATACGAGAAAGAAAATATATTGTTTCAACTTTGTGTTTCCTACAGTAAGACATTATGTTCAGCCCAGATGAAACCTTTGACCCATTATAGACATATCCTAAAAAAAAGGGGGCACCACCCTTTGCCATCAAGTGTCAGTACAAGATTATTCAGAATTAATCATAACTTACCCTTTACACACTATATATATCCATTCTAAATTTTTTACCTGAATTCAGAATAGCAGACATTCAAGATTAATTTCAATAAATGTGTTTCATTACGTGCTGATATTTGTACAATTATTTTTCATAAAAACTATAACCACAATTGTTCTAAACTTGCTAATGAAATTCCTACTCCCAAGTGGTAATATATTGGGAAGTTTAATGCTGCATGAACACAGATATTTGTATAGAATTCTGCTAGGAAGTTTAACCCTTCTATCACTATAAATTTGGATTTTTATTAAGTGTCTGTGTCGCAAATTACATAAGTTTAGTTTCTGTGACTCTTAAAAGTATTACAAGCTACTAATATTTCCTCATCTGAATATTCAGCTTATTCTAAAAACAAAAGAGTGAGAGTGTCAAAACTAGAAACACAAAAGCTTCTCTGAAAGACAGTGGCCTTAACACTGAAATAGCTGGGATGCTATTTTAGTTCCCTACCCTCTCCTTCCTCTCAACCTAGACAGCTCCTAACCCTAATTAAACACCAAGCTGAGTCTCCCCTTTACACAAAGCTCTCCTTGAACCTTCAAGGCCTTATTTACCATGAATCATTATTTAACCAGTGTATATGTAGCTCATTTCCCTCATGAGGCTAATTTCCTTGAGAACAGGGACCATATTTATATTTCTTTCATAATTTGCCATTGATCTACCAACTTCAGCACAAGGCACATAGCTGATCCTCACTAAGTATCTGTTGACTAAAACTGATTATGAATAAACAAAAGTCCTAAAAACCAAATAGTCAATTGTACACAAACAGGTGGTTAAAATGGTAAACTTTATAGTATGCATATTTTAACACAATTTTTAAAATACAGCCAGAATATAAAACATGTAAAAAGGAATCTAATAAAATTATACCAGATAAACTGATTGATAGTCCTAGCTGGGAATCAAGTCTCATGGTTTAATAGCCTTAAAACTGGAAACTCAGTCAACTCTAAGAGAACCTAGTTAGCAGGGCAACAAGACAACTATTAAATGGGCAAATTTTCCTATTCAGAGGTTCCCAATCTGGCAACTTCCTCAGCTTAAAAGCAGATGGACATGCTCTCTCTCTCTCTCATACAGGCACACACAATCTTCCATTCCCTAAACAGTAAAAGCTAAAGAGACAATTCAATTTACAAATAAGAATTTGACCGAAATCCTAAGAAATTTTTTAGAATGCAAAGAACACTACAATAGGCAGAGATTTACAATATAAAGCACATGGTTTGGAAAAATTCCATCCAAGTCACCTTATATTAATCACTCTCATCTATACGGCAAGAGTTAACTGTAAGTTAGGTACCCCATGAGTAGTTAATTCTGAAACCCTCAAAGTGAAATTTAAGTAAAAATGTGTAAAGTAGGGGAAACAATCCATTTGTCATACCTTACTGAGTCCTGGGAATAAGTCTAAATCAGCATGCTGATTCTAAGCAATAAGAAACACGGATGACAGAACGTCAAAAGTAGACAGGCCTTCAGTCTAACTGCAGAGGTGGTGATTCCCTTTGAAGCCAAAGACACAGGCAGAAAAGAAAGTGACACTACAAATTTTATTTCTCCTCAAACAGAAAAATGTACAGAACAGAGCTTCCATCTTTTCCACAAACAAGGTACTTGAGTGTAAGCTGTCCAAGCTCTTTGCTCAGGTTCGATCATGCTTCTCCTAAAGTCCTTCAGAGAGAAACAAGGCAGACAAAGGATGACAGTTTACAGCCATGCTTTCTTCTTTACCTTAAACTTATTAAAGCACTCTCCAAAAATTTTCAGATTAACACCATTTCTTCAAACTAAGCTATGTTATTAGACATCAAGACAGTGGTTACCCTTGAGCTGTGGGCAGTGGGGGAAGAGGGACAGTGACTAGAAAAGGCACAGGAACTTTGGGGATTCTTTCTGGTTATGTTCTGTTTCTGGATCTAGATGCTGGTTACTTGGATGTGATGTCATGAAAATTCATCAGGTGTATATGTCTTTGTACACTTCTCTGTAGGTATATTATCCTTTAATTAAAAGTTTAATTTAAAAAAATGCTTCTTCAAGAACACTATTTATAAAATGCTGACTTCTGACAGACGTAAAATTAAAAGCGTAAAGGAAAGCACTCAAAAGCATTTTAAAATAGTAATTCCCAAAGTATCAACTTGAGCCAAACAAAATAAATACTGCCTTTTATTTACACACCATCCATCACTTCACAGCTCTGCATGCTTGATGTATGTCAGTAAGACGTCTGAGGGCACATATCATCACTCCTTTACGGACTTAGTAACATTTATCTCACATTTTCAAGGAATGACAGACACATTCTGGAGTAAAAAGATGAAACTACGCACCAAAATGTTTAAATTTTTAGCCATTTAAAATAGAAATACGGTGTTTTTTAAAATCTTAATTTATTTAGTAAAATAATGAAAATAAGTATTATTTACCTATTATTCTACACACAGTTATTCACTGCACTGTGTCCTGCAACGTTCTTAGGAGGCTCAGGTGGTTCTTACATTGCCCTGACCTTCTGGGCCAAGCTTCTTGGATCCACACTCACCCCTGCTCAGTGATATTAAAGGCTTCAAGGTTATCTATCCCTACATTTAATGACCCCTGACTGCTAAACCTTCAGCCTGTTACCTCTCTGCAGAAAATGATCGACTTTACCACTTCATTCCCACTCCTAATTGTTACCTTGAACATTCGAAATTCTTCCGATTTTGTAAATTCCTCTGGTCACAACTTAGGAAAGAACTGAAGGCTTTCCGAAACCAGGTAATGCAGTTTATTAAGCCAATCATCTTATTTTGTTGTAAAAGTATGAATTTCTGTGTGGACTACTTCCTTTTCACTCTGCGTGCCTTTCAGTGTTCACTGAGTTTTTACTGTGCAGTGAAGGTATGCTGGGAAATAAAGTCTCTCTCTGAGGGGACTTGTAGCCTAGTTCTACTCCCAGCTGCAAAGCTTTCCTAGGTACAGAATCTACATAACAGAGAAACTGAGGCAGATATAAAGAGACATCATGCTCACTCCTAAAATTCAGTTTAGTGCTCCTTCCCTCGTGAAACATTTCTCTTAAGACCCTTTCCAGGTTGGAGAGCTATTTCATAAGAGGTAGAGTAACTTCACGCCTTAGGGCTGAGTATAGAAGGGATGTTTTTCTCTATGTCCCTTCCTAGTAAAGATTTGGGAAGGGAGTAAGAGAAACAGTCAAATTGTTACAGAATGATAGTTTTTTGTTGGTTTTTTTAATTGAAGGATGGCGGTTGTACGACCTTATATTAAAGTTACAGGTGTACAATACAGTGACTCACAATTTTTAAAGGCTACACTGCATTCATAGTTGTTATAACCTATCAACTATATTCCATATGTTGTACAATACAGTCCGATAGCTGATTTTATACCTACTAGTTTGCACCTCTTACTCCCTTACCCCTAGATCGCCCCTCCCTGCTTCCCTCTCCCCACTGGAAACACTAGTTTGTTCTCTAAGTCTGTAAGTCTGCTTCTCTTTTGTTATATTCCCTAGTTTCTTGTATTTTTCAGACTCCACAGATTAGTGGTATCAAACAGTATTTGTAAAAGGATAGGTTTTAAGTGAACCCAAATAATGGTAGAGTTTACAGCTTGGCAAAATCTGTTTTTCCCTGCTCAGGAAAAACCTGAGAAGACAAAGAAGGAAGAGAACTCAGAACAAGCCCAGGAAGAGCCAAGAGGAAGCTGGGTGCTTCGAGCAGGAGGACTACAGGAGCCATGGGCTGGAACCACCGTGCTGTGCAGCACATCCAGAGCATCACAGAGGCCTGCGCAGGAGTGAAGGCCCATCTGTGCGGGGCCGGAGGGCCCCGCCTTCTCTGCGAGCCTGAGCATGGGCTCAGGCAACCACTGCAGCCCGCCTTCCTATTCAGGATGCAGTTCCAATTTTTTGTTTATCCCCAAATAATCCCGTATCAATAAATTGTAGAAATAAAGAATTAAGGAAGGCAAGGAAAAAATAGAGACTGAACTATCGCCATCCCCATTTGCACTTAGGAGTATTTAACTGCTTGGTTCCCCCTCTGTTTAATGGGTTCTTTAATTTGTGTAGTTTTACTCTAACAGTGTCATTGTCTACCCTCACAAGACAGAAACTATAAAAGGACAATACATGGGAGAGGCATCGCAAAGGACAGGGAAAGTGTCCGAGCTTCCCCTTCTCACCAACACAGACCCCTGCCTCTGTAGGTTAAAGTGTGGAAGATTTCACTAGATTTTTAAAAACTCTCTTTCAACAGCAATGTACAGTTGTTCTTGTGTGGTGAACCATGTACTGTGTGAGGGGAGGGGACCTTTCAATTCTGTAGGGGATTTAAAAAAAAGGCTAAGTATAAGTTAAGCTAAAATCTCTACGAAGTAAAACGTCCTTCTCAGCTGGAGTGGCAAATGGTTATCAGAATCATGTAAGGAGGCTTTTACAAAATAACACATTCCCCACCATGCTGGAGTGGGAGAAGAATCTGCAATACGTTTATTTTGAAATTCTTCCTCAGGTAATTCCGATAAGCTTCCACCTACTGTGAAAATTACTGAGCTAAAAAAAATAGATCAAATTCCCAAAGCCAAGCTAGTCCATAAAACAGATCTAAATACTGAACTTAAAGAACAACAGAATGATGAAATGAATATAAATTTAGATAAAAATATTGTTCCCAAGCAGGCAAGCAATTAACCTAGAGAGAAAACAGGCTACGCTGGTTCTGTTCCACCTGATCTGGATCTCATGTTCTTTGGGCACGACCTCTCACAGCATGAGTG